CGTAAAGATTATAAGTTTTTAATTCCTACCTCAAACATTCCTTGCAGGTTTTGGGATTTGCGAGATTTGAACCAACGATCCTCTGATCCCTAAACTTCAGGCTACTGCTGCCCCTCGTCTAAAACACGTTAGACAAAAGAGAAATCCTCTTTAAACTCCGTCTTTTACTCCCATTTCCCCCTTCTTTTCTTCTTCTCATGGCCATAGATCACCTGTCCAACCAGATTTGCTCGTCTTCACACCTCACCAATCACTCTTCATCCCCTCTTCTCATTTTTCTCTGGTCCTCAGCTCCATCAGGAACACACACACACACACACACACTAACACACACACACCCTGAGGCCCCATGGTGGTTGCTAATGCTTGCTTGCAGGAAATTGTGCATCTGTGGGGGGAAAGAGGGTTAAGGAGGAAGGGGGTTCAAGGTGGGTCTCCTCTCAGGTTACCTGTCCAGGTAAGTCAGTGTTTGTTTAGGGTTACCTCCCAGTAGTCCGGAGGTCCAGGCTGGAAACGGAAAGCTCTCTGCTCAAGTGTGTGCGGGGTTTTATTGTGAGGCACTGTTGACGTTTGAAAGAGGTGATACTTAATCCGACTATTGTGGGGAACTCTCTAGATCCTTCTCTCCATTTGGTGTCATTTACGCTGTATCTCTACCTTTTGTTAAAGTGACCAATTTTGTCGCCACCTCTTTTTAAAGTATAGTTTATTAAAAATGTACTGACGAATAGAATATAAGAAATGTTATTATGTTAGTGAAGAAAAAACAATCCTCTAGTAACTCAAATTTGTTCATAAGTAAATGTGTTTTTTTGAATTCCACCGTTGAGATATATGAAATCAAAATGATTTCTTGCAGCACTTTTTGGAGCTATTTCGGTAATTGATGCATCTGTTCACACTGTTACAGTTTCCACTTCTCGTGCAGTTGAAATCGATGGAAATCAAGCGTGTTGGAGGTAAACAAACCTCAGTTAAAGTCAGTCAGAGTGTGTTCAACACCGGCGTTTGTTTGCTTTACCGCACAGCCGACAGTCCTGGCACTCAGAGCCTGGATAACAAGAACCACAGCTGAGTTTCCACTCCGCTCAAACAAATTGCACGTTTAGCTGCTTAATTGTTTTGGCTCACGAGAAGCACATCAAGCATGATTTATAATGCAGCGTATCACCGTGTTTGTTGATGCAAGGTGTTTGTCATGTGACATACTGAAACTGTTAGTTTTCTTCATAATGCCAATCCAACATGCACTCACAATCAAAATATATGGATGCTGATGTTGGACTGATGTTTGAAGGTTGATATTGTGTGGATAAAAAATGTTGATGGATGAAGTTTTTTGACAGAATTTTCCTCTGATTTTAATTTGTCGGGAAAATCGCTGCAACTGTAATTACTCACCTAACTGAACATGTGTTAAAAAACCTTAAGAAAGTAGTAATAACTTGACTTACAACCTTGTTATTCATGCAGAAATCAACAGGACTTGTAGACTAGATAGTGGACTCGTAGCATTCACCTTCTTATGCATGAAAATAATATATTTTTGCTTGTAGTGTCTCATCTTAATGGTGTTTAAGGTCTTTTCCCCCTCTCTCTGTGCCCTATCTTCCTGAGTTTCAACAAAATGTCCATCACTCTTTCCCTTGGTCTGTTTCTTCTTGCCACAAGTACTGTTGCAAAAACCCAAAGGTAGAAATGCTGGGAATGTTGCAGAACATAGCAGGAGGATTCACTCTGCATTGTGAAAGGCTGTTCCGCTCCGTCTCTCCTGCAAACATTCAAGAGAAACCCGATAGCTTCACTTAGCTCTGATCTGCTCTAAAGACAGAGATCATGAACTAAAGGATGGAGAGATGAGACACAGGGCCAGGCTGAAAAGTAGAAGTGGTTTTTCTTTTACCTTGAAGAGATATTGAAAATGTTATGCTGTCATGTAACGGTGTAAATGAATGTCGTGCACATACCAGACTTCATATCAAGTAGACAACAAACACTTTAAGTGCTCTGTAAGAATTACTACTGCACTTACATATAAACATTTCCAAAACGTTTCAAAGACTTCTGTCCTTCATCGAACAAAACAAGGATATTGCTAGAAAAAGGAAGCCAATTGGAGTGGAAGTAAGACTAAAATATTCTATGGACAGTTACAGATTTCAGTGAGATGAATAAAAGACGGTGGACTTTAATGAAATCCTTTCAAACTTGTTAAACGTCTTTCTCTCACACAAATTGGCACTCGATTAAATGTGTTTTTGTTCATTAGAGAGGATTTTTTGAGCCTTTTAATCCTTCATTTCCACTTCCTGTAAGTATTTTTATTCTGATTTATCTTCAAAAAGAAAGGCTGTGCCGTTAAGTTTTAGATTCTCAAACTTAAATATGTTTTATTAAACCTGTGATGATCATTGACGTCCAGAATAATGCTGTGCTAAACTTGTTGCGTACCGTCAAAAGTGTTGAGTCAGTCATGTTGTTGTTTGGTCATTCTTGTATTGTCTTTCACTTCCTGTTTTGTTTTGACACTCACTTGTTACGTCTCATTCCAGAGGCCTGGGGCCTATACTACGAAGCTGGTTCAACCTAACCTGGATATGTTTGAGTTAGCCGGTTGGCCTAATCCAAAACATACGCGCTCTCGCTAAACTGTACTACGACGCTGGTTATCAAGTGGATCGCTCAAGCCAGCGGTGTCCTATCTAGCTAGGTGCGCGTTCACATGAAAGGGGTGGTATCTGGAGCATTCGACCAATCACAAACATGGAGAAGCGCACTGACAGCGCAGCGTCATACTTTCTGAATGAAAAGTGAACTTTAATACTAGTCAAATATGAAGAAGTTAAACTTTAAACATCCATGACTTAAACACTTTATCCAGGATCAAAGCCACAGAGCTGCACCTGCAAGGTGAATACAGCTGGTAACAGAACAAGTGTTTGAATGCGTACATTAACAGGTTTATGATATCACTGCCCCGTCTAAAACACGATCTGACTTTAATTAGCCTACATTTGACTCGAGTGTTTCGTCAACTTAATGTGTTGCTGAAAATAACACTTCTGCATCCAGTATGTGACACTGTGAGTGTTGCACGGCCAGAAACGGCTCAGCTGACTCAGATAAGGAGATATATGATACATTATGATGTGATATGCCGCGGACTGTAGGCTACTTAATGTTACTCTGATCCGTTTACTTATGTTGTGGCAGATATTTAATTAAGCTTTCTTAACATAATAGTATAATAATAGTATAATAGTTATAATAGATGGGAGGTGATATTCTATTCATTTTCACGTTCACACAGTCGGTGATTTTTAAACGAAAATCCTGATTCTACGAATCAGGATCAGGATCAGGATTTTCGTTTAGTAAGCTAACTTCAGGGATTTCCGGTCCTACGAAGCTGGTTCACTTTTTAGCGGGCTAGAGAATTTATGCTGAGCGGCTAGCCTGCTCCGGAGCAGGATAGGTTCCAGGATAAGAGCTCAACTCAGTGAAAGCACCGCCTGCTGACCAATCAGAGCTCAGTGTGCGGAGTTTAAAGCGATCAAGTCATATTACAGGAGAAAGGAAATACAGAAAAACTGCCGTTGCAGGAAAGACGGCCGGCAAAAATCACCGACTGTGTGAACGTGAACATAAATAGAATATCACCTCCATCTTCAGAGCAATCTGACTATTATAACATTAGCGTTAAGAAAGCTTACTTAAATATCTGCCACAACATAAGTAACCGGATCAGAGTAACATTACTTAGCACTGTGAGTGCAGACGTCAATGTGTCCCATTATCATTCATATCACATCATAATGTAGGCCTATCATATATCTCCTTATCTGAGTTATCTGGCCGTGCAACACTCACAGTGTCACATACTGTATGCAGAAGTATTATTTTCAGCAACACATTAAGTTGACGAAACACTCGAGTCAAATGTAATGAAAGTCAGATCGTATCTTGGACGGGGCAGTGATATCATAAACCTGTTAATGTACGCATTCAAACACTTTTTCTTTTGCCAGCTGTATTCACCCCGCAGGTGCAGCTATGTGGCTTTGATCCTGGATAAAGTGTTTAAGTCATGGATGTTTAAAGTTTAACTTCTTCATATGTCTAAATAGTTGACTTTTCATTCAGGAAGTATGACGCTGCGCTGTCAGTGCGCTTCTCCATGTTTGTGATTGGTCGAATGCTCCAGATACCACCCCTTTCATGTGAACGCGCACCTAACTAGATAGGACACGGCTGGCTTGAGCGATCCACTTGATAACCCGCGTCGTAGTACAGTTTAGCGAGAGCGCGTTTGTTTTGGATTAGGCCAACCGGCTAACTCAAACATATCCAGGTTACCAGCTTCGTACAGGCCTCTGGTTCCTTGACTCCCTACCCTTGTGTGTTTCTCCCGCTCTCATCAGCGTCAGCCCCGCCCCTGATTGTTTCCACCTGTGCCCAGTTATCTCCTGCTTAAATTCCCCAGTCTTCCTTTATTTGTTGTTAGTTCGTCTTGTCCTGTCCCCATGCCGGTACTCTGCGCATCAGCGGTTGCGCTTTCTGTCACATGCCCTATTCATGCTCCTGAAACCTATTGTAAGTTTTGTTCCTCACGTTGAGAGCGATTTTTGTTGTGCCTTATTGAAACCTATTTTTTTTCGCCTCGTTAATAGTTTTTGTATATCCTTTTTGGCAAATAAAGTGTATTACTTATACTTTATCTCTGACTCCCGGGTCGTGCATTTGAGTCCTTTTTTCCCTTGTGTATCCAAGTTCTTAACAAAGGTAATTGAATGTATTTGCTTTTGTTCGGTATCATTGATCCCTTTCTCTGGGCTCCTGAGCACAAGCCTGAACGTGTTGCATCGACTCACTGCTTTTAGGGGGAAAAAAGAGTTTTCTTTCTTAAAAACAACTGCTGGAAACACACAAGAGTGACGAGACTGATACATAAAGTAAATGTGGCGTAAAACCAAAACAATTAGCTAAAAAGTAAAAGCTCCAGGGTTGATGACTTTTCTTTGTGGGTCTGTCACTTCAAGAGAGCCCTTTCGAGTTGCATTTAGTCATTTGATTTATAGTTTAAACATATTAAATAATAAATCAAGTTGTATTTATATAGCACATTTTTAAAACGATTTTTGGTCGAGCCAAAGTGCTACAATAAAAACACTTTACAATAAAAACAAAAATAAAAAGTCGTCCTCCGCTCTGACTAGAAGGCCAGAGAGAAGAAGTGAGTTTGAAGTGATAATAATAACCGTTTTATTATTCACATCTGTTCATTTAAGGCTCCCTATCATGTTCAGTTTTCATATTTGCCACTCTGTTGTCCACTAATAGTCTAGCTCTGTTTTATTGATTTTGAAATCTAGTGATCCCAGATTCCTAGGAATAAACTCATCCAAATGCACGAGAACAATGCACTTTACCTATCCAAGTAAAACAGTTTATTACAGGAATAATTAGCTCAAATAAACTTGTAAATCAAAGCATTCCTCCATTCTCTGTGCTCTTGTCCTTGTGCTTCACACAATTAGCAATGCTCCACGTCTTAATTACCTCTTTGTCTATTTATTGCAGTTTTGTATCCCCCCCCATCGAGAGAATAACAGAGAAACCTCTCCATCTTTCTCATGTCCGTCATCGCAGAAGTCAGAAGTCGATATCAATCCTCAGCTGTCTGGCTCTCAGCTGAAACAAATTCAAACACACGCCATATGGCTGAAATTAACTGTATTTTGTTTAACTGTGTCCAAAACAAAAGGCTCTCATAGCACCTGCCGACCTTCCTTTCTTTCCGTGTGAAAGGCATATTGAAACTTGAAAGTTGAAGCCTCATTAGCGCTGTAAAACGTTGTTGTACAAATAAGGAATAATGAAAGCAAGCTAAACCTGTCATTGTGTGAAGGACAACCACAGGTGAATCTAATTTCATTTACAATGGATCCTTTTTATCCACACAGGAAGATCATTTTGAGTTTTTGCAATTTCTATCAACTTCATCCTCAAGCTTTAGGACAATCAAAAGCTGCATGTTTGTTTGTTTTATTTTAAAGAGGACATATTGCGCTAATTTTAAGGTTCATATTATATGTATGTGTCTCTACATGTCTCCATGCTTTAATGTTCAAAAAGCTCTTTATGTTTCTCGTACTGCCTGTGCTGCAGCACCTCTTTTCACCCTCTGTCTGAAACCAGAGCCCAGTCTGCTCTGATTGGTTGGCCGGCTCTGTTGTGATTGGTCAACCTGCTTAGAGATGTCCCGCCCCTTAGCCTATCACATACAATGTGTTGGAGCGCTAGCCAGTAGCGGTGCGAGTGTTACATAGTGATGTCAGGAACTTTGGGATTTTAGCATTTGCAGACCCTTTTCATCAGGGGTGTCAAACTCATGGCCCGGGGGCCAAATCCGGCCCGTGACTTCATTTCATGTGGCCCCACAAGAGCTTGCAAAGAATATAATATGTTTATTATACGGTTACATGCTGCTTTACAGAAGCACATTGCCCATAAACTACATGTCCCACAATGCATCTCAAATATGACTTTTTTTCTCAGAATTTGACTTTTTTTTAAATGTCATTTTCTTTTTTTTCCTCCAGAATGTGGCTTTTCTTCTTAAATCATTTTGTCACATTCTCACTGAAGAGACTTGCAATTATTTGCCCTAGACTTCTGCTCTCAGACGTAGTTAATGATGAAGTTGTTACCCTATCCGATAATAATCCAATGCAGAGGCAATCATGTCATAATACATTCTTTTATATATATTAAAATATGTATATATGTATTTTTATATAGTCTTATATATAAAACTGGCCCTTTGAGTGCAACCATGATGCTAATGTGGCCCGAGATGAAATTGAGTTTGACACCCCTGCTTTACATGCACAAAAACCTATTGAACACACTAAGGGAAAACTCCCCAAAGCCTCATAGGGCCTCTTTCAGGCAATCATACTTTATTTGCCTCGTATAAGAGAAAAACGTATAATCTCTACAGCAGATACGGCTTTTAGGTGATAGATATCTCAAAAGCCAAGTGTCATGAAGTGATATATTGACTAAAGTCTTCTGACAAAAACAGGTTATATGTGGTATTGAGTGAACTGTAATGCTCTCTGAATGTCTTTTATCCACAGGGTCAAAAGCTGTCTTACCTGTATTATCAGGCCTTTAATCTGACTCTTGAAGGATATTATATTTTATAGATAACAAGCAAACCCTTTAGAAAAATGGTTAGTCCATTTATCTTACAGAAACCGTTTTTTTATGTCTAAGAAAAAACCATCTTTTCCAGACCATTTTATTTTTGTTACAATTACATACAATTCTACATTATTGTATGTTCATGCTGGTCTGCTCATCAAGAACATATTTTGAGTTTGCTATCTTGATCAAGGACACTTACACATACAGAGAGAAATGACCATGACCTAAACCATCAACCTTCAAAATAATGGGCCACAGCCCTTTGTCCAATCCTAGCAAAGGTATAGTCAAAGTCAGTGCGTTAAAGTACATTTAATCAAGGGATGAACTTCATTATTTAATTGCAAGAGCCGCTGCTCTGCTCAGAGACAATAACTGATACAAAGGTCATTATAGTTTTGGTCTTTTAACTTAGTAAAAGTAGTTCTAAGTAAGAAAAGTAGTAGTTGAAGTAGCAAAAACATGATGATTGAGTTGGTCCTTGTAGTATCGAAATAGACACGTGTGTGTGTGTGTGTGTGTGTGTGTGTGTGTGTGTGTGTGTGTGTGTGTGTGTGTGTGTGTGTGTGTGTGTGTGTGTGTGTGTGTGTGTGTGTGTGTGTGTGTGTGTGTGTGTGTGTGTGTGGCCTAGCATTACTATAATTGTGGGGACCTAAATCTGTTTACATAGTCACGTGTGGGGACTCGCCGCCCTTATGGGGACAAAATGGAGGTCCCCATGAGGGGAATCATTCATTTTAGGGTGAAGACGTGGTTAGGATTAGGGTAAGGGGTAAGGGTTAGGGTAAGGGTTAGGGTTAGGCATGTGTTAGTTATGGTTATGGTTAGGATAAGTCTCCAGGAAATGCATGTAAGTCAATGTAATGTTCCCTGAAGTGATGTATACATGGTGTGTGTGTGTGTGTGTGTGTGTGTGTGTGTGTGTGTGTGTGTGTGTGTGTGTGTGTGTGTGTGTGTGTGTGTGTGTGTGTGTGTGTGTGTGTGTGTGTGTGTGTGTGTGTGTGTGTGTGTGTGTGTGTCCTCTGCTCACTCCACTTACATCACACCAGTTGTCCCAGTAGGACAGGATCCAGCTCGCACTAAATGTTCCCTTTTTTTCATGTTTATAGACTTGGCTCGAAAACTGCTTAGAGGGAGAGTCTGTGTGGGTTTGTGTGTGAAAGGATTGCTTGGATAGTTTGAAGTGCGGTCGTATGAGATACTTATCAGACAGGAATACCCACACAGAAGTAAAGTATTGTTAACAATTGTTATAGGTTCTTATAGGGAAATAAAGCTCTCTTCAGATTCAACATACTCCATTCACAAAAGCAGTTTTAGAAAGCTGCTGTTGATGGTGTGCTTTTACCTTGATCTGTTGGTTTGTTTGTTTTATTGTGTAACGTTGGTGAATCTAAACTTACTTTTAAAAACACCAAAGTTACACAACAAATACAAACAACTAACCGTACTCAATAGCAACTCAATTGTTCTGCTAAGGTAAAAGCAGTGGTTTTGTTAAAGGAGTCTGGTGGCCTTGAAGAGTGATTGGTTGCACATTGTAAAGGGCTGGTGAATTTAAAATCAACTAAATGAGTGTGTGTGTGTGTGTGTGTGTGTGTGTGTGTGTGTGTGTGTGTGTGTGTGTGTGTGTGTGTGTGTGTGTGTGTGTGTGTGTGTGTGTGTGTGTGTGAGAGAGTGAGTGTGTGTGTGTGTTCTCTCAAAACAGCTGCGTTTGAGGTTACCTTGTGCAATAACAATGTGCATTATATCCTTTAACAACATGTACACTGTACATTTTACATTTATATTCGATTAATATATAATATTCCTTGCCTCACATACTTATGTATAACTTGATTTATATTTTGTTACTGTACATTTGTAATTCAACATGTATATTTTCTACTTTTTAATTGTTGTCTTTTTATGCTGCTGCAACATAAACATTTCCCAAATTAGGATCACTAAAGTACTATCTTATCTCTTATCTTATCTTGTTTATTCACTGGTTGTTATTTCAATATTTGTTTATGTAAACTTACTTTCAAAATGATGGTAGTTATATTATTTATTTGTTGTCTTGTATTTGGGTATTTGGGTTTCACACCATTTTAGCTCCAGTTGACGTGATGGTCCTCACAAAGAACAAATAGTTAGTGGTCCACACTAAGTACTAAAAATGTGTGTGTGTGTGTGTGTGTGTGTGTGTGTGTGTGCGTGTGCGTGTGCGTGTGCGTGTGTGTGTGTGTGTGTGTGTGTGTGTGTGTGTGTGTGTGTGTGTGTGTGTGTGTGTGTGTGTGTGTGTGTGTGTGTGTGTGTGTGTGTGTGTGTGTGTGTGTGTGTGCTCACTGAGTTGAAGAGCAGTTGTCGATGACAGCTGCATGGGAGCAGGGAGAGAAAGAGTCGAGTGGCTTCAAATAGCCGTCGTTCCCCTCATTCATCGGAGCAGCCCTTCCCCTCTTCTCCCTCTCAGCAGCCACGGGTGTGAAGTTTACATTTTCTTTTGTTGACACAGGCATGGTGATGTTTTTTTAAAATATCCGCTTACTCCATAAAATAACGTTTCAGAAATGTCCCAAGTATAGTCTGCAGGTAACTGTTAAAATGTCATGGTGGGTACTTCAGTTAGCATCAAAAATGTTCATTTATATGTTAAACGTTAAAGGTTATGTGTGTATTTTTAATTAATGGATTCATTGAATGTATAAACTGTTTAAAAAAAGCCTATGAGGACATCTTTAAATTGTTTGTTTTCTAAGATCGACAGAGCAAAACCTAGATTTAAATGATATAAAATAGACAAAAAGCAGCATAACTATTGGTGCCTGATGAAAGTGATTGATTATTCATCAAAATTGTTGTCAATGAATTGTTTGTCTAGCAATAATTACAGTGACTTTTTCCTTGAGTTATCTTAAATTGAAATAGTTAATGTACAACTCAATTATCAAAGATGTCCCATAGTTGTCAAGATGTTATTTAACTTGCAAATCCATTCTAAAATCCAAATATGTCCTTTTTCTATACAAGCAGTCTCGCCACAAACAGCGTCAAAATTGTACTTTGCTTCTGCCAATTTATCTTCACAAAAAGAAAATGTAATGATTATTTTCTGTCTTCCTGGATCTTTTGCAGCTGTCAGAATCCCCTCCATTTCTTTCGTGCATTGAGGCAATTGTGTTCACCGACCGCACACTTATAAATACATTTCATACGCAGTTTCGTCTGACATTTTTAAGCACACTTCATTTTGATTTAATACGCTCAAACGTTTGCAGCTGTCACTTCTACAAACACCTTGTGAAATCATTACTTAAATATATTTCGTAATCAGTCAAAACTGTTTAATTTAACTTTTACAGTGCCATAAAATACTGACATTGAACCAATACTCCATGTAAACCAGAGTGTTTGGACTTTTTTTGCCAAATTCTTGCTGTGCGGCCTTTCTCAACACCAACACGGCCTTTCCTCCAGCCACAACTCTCCCAGTGTCTGTTGCCCAGTTGTCCCAGTGAGGCAAGTCCTGCCAAGTCCTTCAGGCGCTTGTCTTTGGAGTTTTTTGACAACACATGTCTCTGTCCGTCCGTCCCCAGTCTTTTTCCAGTTTAGGAATGTTGTCCTTGCCTATTACAGGGGCACAAAGAGTCTTGTCTTTGTGCACATCCGTCAAGATCAGTTTCTCTCGTTCCTCCGTGAGTCCACTTTTGTTTCCACGCTCGTTTTGTATCCACAATTAGCTGCTGCTGCTGCTGCAAAGTCCTCCGTAATACCGAGCTGCAAGTAGACCAGAAGCAGTTACAGCACAAAACGGCCGTCTGAAAGATTGTCAATTTCTCTGTCCCATAATATCAGAAGAGCAACAAAGGAGTGAAGGAAAGAAGTCAAGCAGGGGAGGGGGAGGAAGAGTCTCAGCAGGCTCTAAAACCAATACAAATCTTTGCTCTTATCCTGTGCCTGAAGACCTGAGAGAGTAAAGGGAAAGAAAGGAGGACACAGAAAAAGGCAGTGGAAGGAAAAAAGAAAAGGGAGATTAGAAAAAAGAAGCGCTCATGTCATGTTGATAAAAGCAGGAGGAATTGCCCGAGGCAGAGAGGGGATGAAAGCAAAGACGGCAACAGAAAAGGAAGTTGACAGCTGGTGTTAAGGTGCTGACTGACAGTCAGTTTGTTGGTTCAAACCACTTGTGGTAAGCCGATCTGAGGCAGGGGGAAAGAAATCCTCATTTAAATCTGGTATTCAAGGGGTTACTTTGCTACGTGGTCGTACTGAATGTCTTTAACGCTGCTTTTATTCAAACACTTCAACAATAATGAGATGGGTTGAACATTTAACAGACAGGTGTGGACCCAATCAAGCAATGCACCGATGTTAAAGAGTGAAGATGCATCTCAATCTGCTGCAACTTTTGCCTGTTTCCAATGGTGGTTTTCACATTTGTTGAAGATGTAATGACCGCACAATAGGGTCCGATCATTTTAATGATTCGACACCTGGTTGAGAACGTGTAAGATTATGTTATACTTTCAAATCATAAAATTAGCTTGTTATGATCAATAATTGTAATTTCCATTAGCAGCACCTGGTCTCGATTCTGCTCAACGTTAATAGGGTTTTAATGTATTAACTATTCAAATGGATATGCAAGAGATAGGATTGTTGAGAGAACTTCAGGCAAAGATTGTTTTGTACAATTTTGGTATTCTTAATCAGGAAAATAAGCATATAAGGAGTTGTGAACAGGTGAAGAACCATTGTCCAAGACCAACATACTAGTCTTATGGGTTTTAGATGTTTGCTGACAAAGAAAAAGCTCAAGGCTTGATAACACCTCTATATACCCCCTAAAACCACAGGCCTTATTTATGTTGTATTAAGTTATAAAAAGACTGCCATGACAGATTCTTTACCGAAGTCTTTGGTGTTTGATTTGACCTAAAACTCTTGGCTTAGCACTTTGAGGAAAGCCAACAAATTGTCATAGGTTTGACGGATGATACCATTCTGTTTCTCTATATTGTAGAACAGTTTTTCTATTGTTGTATACTCTGTGAATCTATAGCACATATGTTGGTCCTGTAAGAGGAATACATCCACTTTCGATCTTCCTGAGGTTTATTCTTGCTTTTTTTTAAACCCCATTTCAGTTGTTAACTCATTTAAAGGGCAGCAGATGTACCCATTGTTGATTGTAAAGCCCATTGATGTTAGGCTACATTTGATGTGAAACATTGACATTACCTGTGTCCATGTTGAGTCCGATCTCCGCTCCGGCTCCAGTGAAAGCACCGCTCCATGAACTCGTCCCTGACTCTCCTTTCCCCCCCAGGTCGCAGGGCGAGGCGCTGGGCACCGAGCTTCCAGACGCCATGCGGTGATGATTCCTCACCGACGGCACCAACAGGGATCCATACCGAGGATCGAACGCCGTGCTGTACATCTCGTGAACCCCCGGACGCGGGTACGCCGATCCCTGGCTTCCTATAGCGCCCCCTAGTGAGTAAGGGTGGTGGTGGTGATGGTGGTGGTGGTGGGACGGGTGCCAGGAGTCGGGGCTGGGCTGGTGGAGGTGGCTGTGCAGGGAGGAGGAGGAGGAGGAGGCGTACGGGTCCCCAGGGAACGAGAGCTCTGAGTGGGGAGAGGAGAGAGCACTGCCCAGCGAGGAGGACGGCTGGTAGGAGCTGTTCCAGAAGGACGGAGGGAAGCTTCTCTGGTTCATCGGGAATGATCCATCTGCAAACACAGGTACTGTTAGAAAACTATCACTATTACGTCATATCGACAGCAAATCTGGATCAGCTCCGTTGTACCGCCATTTTTAGAGATGTGGGTACGGAGGAAAAGAGAGAGGGTTGAGTTCCCTGACAAACCGGAGACACATATTTATGTATAAAGGACATAAAAAAGTGCATATGCATGATAGGAGACCTTTAATGCTTCATCTGAAAGTCTGGGACTTGTAGTAGTGTGTCGGTGTGATTTCAATACAAGACAGAAGTAAAACTGGAACATTGAAATCATCTCGGATATTGTTAGAAAAATATCACTCGTCACAAAAATCTATAAAATGTACATTTAACAAAACATTTACATTTAACAAAAAATGTGTAACACTGTAAACTATGAGAAAAGCAATTCCCCAAAATGAAAGCAAAAAAGATCCAACATCTAAAAAAAGAAACGACCGCAGTTCATTATTTACACAAACTCACTATTTGTTTAAACTTTTATATTTCAATCAAACACAAAGTCAGAGGAGAGACTAACTGCTAACGGAGAGTAGAATAAACACAAGCCGAGGCTGGCAAAATTCTAGCCCCATGGAAACACTTGATGAAGTTGTGATTTTCGATGCACGTTTTTGTACAGTTCAAAGTATTTCCAAGGATTGTTTCTTCAACCCTCATATTGTCTTCGTTTCCCCCTTACTTTAGTGTTTGCGGTCAAATTTGACCGGTCCTTTTTTTATCTGCTATTACATTAACACAAAAAACATTAATCATCACCAAATTTCATTTAACACCCTTTCAAACTGTAAATATTGTATCAGACTACTGGTATACATGAACAACTGCAGTAAATATACAAAGAACAGACACTGAACATGTATTGCGTGTGCCAGGTGTGATCCATGTGGGGGGAGGGGCACTTAAGAGCGGGAAATGTGTCAAATTGTTCTGTGTGTGTGTGTGTGTGTATGTGTGGCCTAGCATTACTATACTTGTGGGGACCTCAATCTGTTTACACAGTCACGTGTGGGGACTCGCCTCCCTTATGGGGACAAAATGGAGGTCCCCATGAGGGGAATCATTAATTTTAGGGTGAAGACTTGGTTAGGATTAGGGTTAGGCATGTGTTGGTTATGGTTAAGGTTAGGATAAGTCTCCAGGAAATGCATGTAAGTCAATGTAATGTCCCCTGAAGTGATGTATACATGGTATGTGTGTGTGTGTTTGTGTGTGTGTGTGTGTGTGTGTTTGATCTGATCCGGATGGTTACTAATTCCTTTTCATGTTTGAGCGGGAACACCATGGATGTTACAAAGTTGACTAAATCATCCAAAATGCAATGAAAGTGGTGATCCGCAATTGTATATGTTTAAAGGTCTACTGTGAAGGATATCATAAAGCCTTCATGCAATCGAATGTAAAACAAAAAAGTTATGATTGATGAAAGTAGTAAATCGGTCAGATTTGACCCGAACACAACAGGAGGGTTAAGTGTCATTACATCTAGACTTTGCACTGTCACATTAACTGGTGATTATTTTTGATTACTGACTGTTTTTTTATCATTTAAAAAAGTTCTCCTTAATCTTGTCATCACCATGATTAATCACATGTTACCTTATGGAAGTGTACAGAGACCAAGACAAAGTAACTGAATCTGGGGAAATGATATTGTCTTTGAACAGCTTAATTCCCACACTATCAAAACCAGGACAAAAGGAATAAAACACACAATGGATTAAACCAAATTTCTACAAGAGAACTTCCAAACACATGTAAGCATTTAATAGATTTCCCTTTTGACATTAAGCGTCCCGATGATGCTCAAAACTGTCTTTCAGTGTCTTTTCTCCACGCTGTCAGACTCCCACTAAGGGACAACACTTAAATACTGAAGGCAATAAGACTATTAAACACCTGAACCTTTTAAAGAACATCCATCTGATTGCATTTTGCAAATTATTTATCTATATATCATTCCATTTACTTGTATATCGACTCTTCTTGCACTATTTCTATTTTATCTGTATTTACTTGCACACCTCCAAACATTCGCTTGCACTGTTTTATCTGATTTATTTGTTCTATGTCCTATATATATATTCATGTTGCATTGTTGGAGGAGCCTATGACTTCAGTTTGTCATTGACATTTCTACACGGTGCAAAAAGCCTTGAAACTTGTTGTTTGTTGTTTTATTGTCATGTGCACAAAGCTACTGTGTAGAAATGGCAATGACATTCTTCTGACCTGAGCTCCTCCAACAATACAACATATAATAACATACAAAATACAAAGTAATGCAAAAAGTCTATATGCTGTACATGTCAATAGAATATGATGTGTACAAGAACAGAAATAAAAGAATGTACATTAAGACAAAATTAACTATTGCGTGGATAACTATTTCTATAAATAAGTATATTGCAAGATGACAAACAGATGAATGTTTATCGGGGCACTTAAAGGTAGGGTAGGTAAGAATGGAGAAACCAGCTCGAGTGCGCTGGAATTTGAAAATACACAGCCGGAAAAAATCTGCCACTTCCTTACAGAGCCCCTCCTCCAACACACATGAACGCGCACATGACCAATGAGGGCACAAGATGAGTTTGTGCCCAGATGGAAGGCTGACAGGCAGGTAGGCCATCCAGTTACTTTAGCCGGGCCGGCTCAGATGATTGGTCGTGCTTTTTACAGCGCCACGGCTTCCAGATGACATTTTTTAATGTATTTTTTGTCAAAGCATTTAATGTATTCATTGCTATCGGGATGTTAAGAGCATTCCATGGAATATAACAACAAGTGTTTCTGAAGTGAATGACCTACCCCACCTTTAGCAGAGCTCAGGTTTTTAGCAGTCTTATGGCCTGTGGGATAAAACTGTCCCTGAGTCTGGTGGACTTGAAACGTAGATAAAATAAGATAAGATGCACCTTTATTATTCCCCGTGGAGAATTTCAGTAGTTTAGCAGCAACAGGGTAAGAATGAAAAACAGGACAGCACAGATTAATACAATTAAAGATAAAATCAAAGATACAAATTAATATTGATAAAATAAGAAATTAATTAAAATGAACAGATATACGTATTGACACACACACACACACACACACACACACACACACACACACACACACACACACACACAACACAGACTGTCTATAACACCCCTTGTTGTGTTAAATACCAACTATGTGCAATATATATATATATATACATATATATGCCGTTAATAACTGCAATATACCTTTCTGCTAAATCCTCAGAACTGTTACAGGGTGTGTATTTTGTAAAAAGTGTAACTTTTTATTATAATTTCTTTTTTTGAATCTGTTTGTATGCATGCTTAGTTCACATTGAGCTGTCTTTGACTCTTTTCTGCTGTAACAATGTACATGTCCCCTCTGTGGGACGAATAAAGGTATTCTGATTCTGATTGGTTCATACACGCACACACACACACACACACACACACACACACACACACACACACACACACACACACACACACACACACACACACACACACACACCTCTTACGGCCTTGTGGCTGCTGGAGGCCGGGTATGCAGGTGTGTGGCTGAGCGCTCGGCTGAAGTGTTCGTCCACCACGGCGCTGATGTCTCCCTGGAAGTAAGTGAAGAGGACGCAGCGCGAGCTCAGGTACTCGGCGCCCGGAGGAAGCTCCTTGTCCTCCTCCTTGATGGCGGGGGGGCCGAGGCGGCTGTCCTGGGGGTCTTGCATTTTGGTGTACAAGGCCAGTTTCTGAAAAAGACATTACAGTACATTTCAATTAGCGGAAACTTCTATCAGAATAAGAATCCGATTTATTGCCAAGTGGGTTTAGCCCTGTTAGGCCCCCGGTTGTTATTTTACAACATTACTTTAAGCTATCCTAAAAGAGAGACTACATTTACATGGTCAAAAGGTCCTCTTGTTCAGCCTCACAATGCTATTGGGTAGTAAATGTGTTTATAGGTCCCGCCCTCTGGAGCATACACTCACACCATTTCCGAATCTTCAAACGAGCAACATGTCTTTGTTTTATTGGACTGGATTTGTCAGATTCAAGTAAGTAAAATGCCTCAAATATTTTATTTGCGATTATTACAATGTCTAAAACATGTACATATTTAGTTGGAATACATTCATCAAATTAGATTTTGAGCAGCTTATGTCTTACGTAAAACATTTGATTTCATTTCTGCACCAGAGGCTACAACAACATCTGAAAGGTCATAAAAAGAAATTGTTTTTCTATATTTGGGCTTTTCAGGGCAAACACAGAGTAAGAGGGATGTATTTGGAAGATAAAGATCATAAAATAGAGTTATAAAAACTATTTTAATATTACAAATTAAGTAGAAATATTCACAACATTGTAAATATTAGGAAAAACTAAGTACAGTAAAAATATGATACAATTCTCTGGAAAATTAAATATTTGAACTGTTAGAATTTAAAGTGGAAAGCTGCAGATTTTAAAGATCAGAAATGTACAGAGGGTGCACAGGGGTCACAGCATTAAAATGAACAACATTTGCTCAGATTATGTGCAACAGCAATTACTTAAGTGACCTGACACTTTTATCAGAATCTGATTTATAGCCAAATGAAGCTCAGTGCAAGTTCAACCAGGAAAACCGTCCCCACTCATTAATTTACTATTTCTATGTAACTACTCTCTCTCCTCTCAATAAGTGATCAGGAGCGTCACTCCCCAGCTTAACCAATCACTTCGCTCAATTCTCACAAGCCTATCATAGCACTCCGCTAACCCTTTTAAGTCTGCTCTCCCCTCTGACAGTTGTCATTTCAGGTGACTCGACGCAACCCTCCTCCACCCCTTTCACCTCCTGTCCCTCTGAATCCAGGGTCAAGCTAAGCCACTCCCCTTCAGACCAAACTCAACTATCCATTCACCACCACCAGGGTCAAGCTAAGCCCCTCCCCTTCAGACCGACCCCAACTATCCATTCACCACCACCAGGGTCAAGCTAAGCCCCTCCCCTTCAGACCGACCCCAACTATCCATTCACCACCACCAGGGTCAAGCTAAGCCCCTCCCCTTCAGACCGACTCCAACTATCCATTCACCACCACCAGGGTCAAGCTAAACCCCTCCCCTTCAGACCGACCCCAACTATCCATTCACCACCACCAGGGTCAAGCTAAACCCCTCCCCTTCAGACCGACCCCAACTATCCATTCACCACCACCAGGGTCAAGCTAAGCCCCTCCCCTTCAGACCGAACCCAACCATCCATTCACCACCACCAGGGTCAAGCTAAGCCCCTCCCCTTCAGACCAAACTCAACTATCCATTCACCACCACCAGGGTCAAGCTCCTCCCCTTCAGACCGACCCCAACTATCCATTCACCACCACCAGGGTCAAGCTAAGCCCCTCCCCTTCAGACCGACCCCAACTATCCATTCACCATCACCAGGGTCTAGACCCCGGGGGGTTTCATTCGGGTCGGTTCTCCCCTCCCGAATGATACTCCTACTCAACGGGGCCTAATCGCCAAAACTCCATTACATTCATTTGTGTATTCCTGGCAATAAATATGTATTCTTACATCAGAACCGTCTCTCCTGATTGAAGCAGGTTTAAGCGCAATATGAATTTGCTTTGGTGCATTTGGTGCAAACATAGACAGAGTAAGAGGAATTCATTTGGAAGAAAAGGACCACGTTATAAAACACAGAAATGTGCAACATATATCATCTTACTTACATGAAACCTTGGATGAACCTTTTATTATATGCAAATAATAATATATATCATATGAATTAGACAAATGTATTCAAGTACACAGACATATTCTCATACATAGTAGTATTTTTTAAGTCATTTGAATGTCATTGCTGCTGCACTGAAAATACACTTTTTTTAACTTACTGTGAACTTACTTTTATGAATAAGAATCAGATTTATTGCCAAGTAGTTTTAAGCATAATAGGAATTTGCGCATTTGGTGCAAACATAGACACAGTAAGAGCATTTGGAAGAAAAGGACCAAGTTATAAAACATATTTTAACATGAATGTAAATAGAAATGTTTACAAAAATATAAATATTCAAAGCAACTAAGTAACGTAAAAATATGATGAAATGCTCTGAGTAGTTAAACTGGAAGTCTGTGCACATTTTGAAGAGTTAGCGTTGACCAGAAATGTGCAACATATAGGAGGGGTGTGAATGGGTCACAGTGTTAAAATGAACTAAATGTAATCAAATGATTTGCAAAAGCTTCTTACAATAAGTGCATTCAACCATTAAGACACAAAGGTAAGCTGCAAGTACAACTATGTTACGTGCCGGTGCATTATGCAAGCTGTTTATCTAAAGTCCCTTTCTATCATTTTGAAGATTGAAGATTCAACTTATTGTCATGACGTAGTACATGAACTATGTAACGAAACGGTGTCTCTGCATTTGACCCATCCTAGTGTTAGGAGCAGTGGGCTGCCATTATGTACGGCGCCCGGGGAGCAGTGTAGGGAACGATGCCTTGCTCAGGGACACCTCGGTAGCCAAGTCCCTATGGACTTCGCCACCACCGCCCATTTTGCATATGTGCATTCATTTTTAGGGGGGCATTTTAACTTCTATAAAGACTTAAACAAATAAGTGGTATTTGACTTCTTCTAACCCCCGTTAAAAACATGTCCGTTTCAGGAGACAGCAGGTGTGTAGTAGAACATAAATCCACCTAAGCCAGTGTCATCTATTTATGTACAAACTGACATGAATTATGATGATGTGTCCTCCTAAGGACATTTAAACAATGATACAATTTGCTTTCTCACAATGAGCACAATTACACCTAAAACTCAAATGAGTAAACAGGTATATTATCATTTAGAGTACAATTTATTTTCAAATATTATAACTTTGCACCTTTTACTGATGACTACAAAACTTAGTCAGCTCTTACTTTTATTTATTTGTACTTATATGATAAATAGAGGAACACACAAGTACCGAACATGTTGCAAAAACCTATATGGTAATGAAATCAATTCAAATAGTTAAAAGACATTGACCTATTATTAGAAGCAAATATTAACATATACACCGAAATATTATCTTATACTTTTGTCATTACTGCTGCACTCGCTGAAAATACACTTTTTTTCGTACTTTTCCCCTTTTTGATTTACTTATATGACAGATAAAGATGAAAAATAACTATTTGTAAATGATATTACTTCAAATTACAGTTAAAGGACATACAACCTTTAATTTCTTTACAAATAATAATCATAACACATGCATTAGACAAACTTCTCCAAGAAAAAATATATTGTTGTATAAATACTGCTAATACATAGTGATCTATATATATATTTAAAAACTAGAGTGTGTATTGTGGGCAGACTGGCTGATCCAGAGTCTGTTTCGGTGGCAGACAAAGTGAGTTTTGGCACTATGTGAAATATGCCCTGGTTGTTGACCGAGAGGTTTTAAGAGAGTGAAAAAGACCTTTAACAAGTCTGGAGAGAAAAAACCTGCTGCACTCAAACTGTTCAGTCATGAAGCAAAAACAAATGTTTTAGAAAGTGAAATCAATCTTATTATTTCGCAACTACGCTGTAAAAAAGAGTCAAGGCGTGATGACAGATCATTGATTTGAACCCTTAATTACAGTATGGGTCATTTAACATTGTAAAACGATACAGGAAATTAGGTCTAACGCAGATAACGCTGTAAGTCCTGGACTATGTTTGGCCTTAAACCAATAGAAAAGTGAGGATATAATAAATAATTAATGTTTAAACTCGACAAAAGTCTTTAAAAACACGTATACAAACGAATGGATGCATAATATCCTTCAGTTTTGACTTAAATAAAGCTCATCTGCGATTTTTACTTCAGAAATAATCTTCTTTTTTTACACTTTTAACGAACTAAAATCCGCTTAAATAGAAAGAACAAACAATCTGTTCCCTGCAGTTTGAAGTAGAAGAGTAAATAAGGTAATTGATATCGATTTAAATGCAAAAAAGTGAACATGTGACCCACAAAAGTTTTACATCGCTCCAAACGTGAAGCTTTACGCACTGGATCCTCTCCGCAAGTTGCGCACACTTTCAGTCAATGCCGTGCTTTTAATGGTGTTTAAAGTTCTTATTACACTATATTATTATATATAAAGTGATCTTAAGGACTGTGTTACTATTTCTAAATATAGAATCCATAGTTTGTGTCGGTATGAGCTGTTTTGTCTCCTATTTGCACGCAATAAAGTTGTAATTTGTGGATTTAAATAAGGTATAAATAAGGTTTTCTGTACATGATAACAATAATTAAAAGCCCACGGTGCATGTTAGGGCTATTTAAAAAGAGTTTATAAACAATAAGTGGTCCATACCTGGTGGTGATAGGGGCTGTAGGAGCTGAAATAAGGCTGAGGTCCAAACACTTGGTACATCACATCCAGGCAGCTCATGGCGAACAGAATCACGGAGAAGAACCGAGAGTCATTGAGAGAGTCTGAGCGGCCGGAGAGGAAGCGGTAATCCCGGCCGTGGAGAGGGTCTCTGTGCGGCTCTTTACGCACTCTTTACGCACTGCACGCGGCTGTGCGCACTGAGAGGATCCCCCTCCTCACCCTCCCTCCTCCCAAAAAACACCCAGCCTGACGCCTCCCTCCAGCCAATCAGAGGCCAGAGCTCCACCTCTGCCGTAACGAGCTTTTAACTGCGGAGACACGAAACCATGGCATCTATTTAGCGATTTAATTAATTATCTGTTTGCCAAAAACATTTATAATTTTGCCTCGTGTTACTGCTGCATTCATTTTGTCATTTTTCTACTCTTACTTTATTGATTTATTTACTTTTTTAAGATGAATAGATGTAAAAAAAAAAAAGTCCATATCATGATACAAACAACTATATAATATGAAATGACTTTATTAGAAAAACAAGGAACCTTTTTTTATACAAATATGAATTGTTAATTTATCATTTAATAAGATAATATTATAATGAATGATTAACACTTTTAATATCTTTCTCATTTCACCAAAAATTATGCTACAATTACATATTTTTAATCCTAATTAATGGACTTTATAAACCAAAGGTATGTTTTATAATGCACATTGCAAGCTATCCATATTTACCTTAATATTTACTTATAATTCAAGTATTGGTCATGTTACGATTTATTTCTCTGTATATAAACACTATCTTCACTAGCGTTTCATGATGTTTTGATTACACAAAAATACAGTAAATGTTAAATAAGTAATGTAAAAAACCTACAGCAAGATAAATGTGCCACCCACTCTGAATCTAATGCAACAAAAGCTCATCTGATGCAGCTCCACTTGCACAACTTGGGATTTTTTTGGTTCTCGGAAAGTCAATTCAGTCTTGCATTTTTAATATTCTTTTATTCATTTTCAAGGTCTTTAGATGCTTTGAGGAATATTGGACTGGCCTCAATTCTCTGACAGGTGTGGCACTCAAAGGGAGACAGCTTCTATGCTTTCATTTTCCTTTGAATGGAACTTTATTTTGAATGTTTTTACAGTACATTTTAATGGGATAGTGAATGAAGGCTTAACTTGTTTTTTTATATTGTCCAATATAGTGCTTTCAGATGTGTGCGTTTGAAATAAATAGATGGAAAAAATAGCAAAAAACATCCAAAATGTTTAAATGTTTGTAGCCCTTTTCCCCCAATAATGGATTAAAGTGTTATAAATGTTTCTTTTATTCGCCACAAGAGTGTTAGAGAACTACATTTTGATGACTTAAATTCAAAAATGCAATGCCTAGTAGTTTGCTATTATCATATATGATGTATTTTATATCATGTTTGTCAATCAGAGCATGCCCAGTCGAAGTTTTTCTGGCATCTGCAGCCGTAGTAAAGAATGTAACAACTGGCACTTACTGCTAATTGAAATGAGTAAACAAATCAAACCGACCAATGAGAGGAATGTGATGCTGTGCAGTCCCACAATCCCTCAGTGGCCTCCCAAATTCTGGAGGTCAAAGGTCAAATAGCTAGCTCCCAGTTTGGTGCTATTACTAGAGATCACCGGCAACTTGTCCAACAATTACCGAGCTACATTACATTTACTCAAGTACTGTGTGTATAATGTACAGGAACTTTATATTCCTGCTATATTTCTACTCCACCACATCACTTTTGGCACAAACAAGAAATATATAATCTTTTACTTTGTTACATTTCTCTCAAAATGCATTTGCAGCTGTAAATTAGTGCTATATTAAAATGTTTCTCAAACTGTCAAAAATGTTCACCTTTAGATATCAAATGTGCAATGTAATCTTACTTTTCAGTTGCAATTTATTTAGACAAACATTTGATCTTGTACAGTCTTCACCTCAAAGATAATTATAATTTCTGAGTCATTAATTTTTTAACTAATCAATGTCACGTTCCTAATGACTTCAACATCTTGACATGTTTTGATTCCACGGGGATCTGTATATTGTGGCTTCTTAAGGTTTTTGATTAACTCTGATATTTGCACGTATTCAATCCAATCCACTTTATTTCTATAGCACATTTTAAAAACAGAGGGTTTGCCAAAGTGCTTCACTACGAACATATCATTATAACAAAATATAATATTACAAGAATAGATAAAAGGCACACAAGAATAAATACAAGGCACATAAAGGCTATGGACAGACAATAAAAGCATACAAATAGGTAGAGCGTAGCTCAGACTGACTCGAAAGCGAGGGAAAAGAGGTGGGTCTTTCGACTACATGAGTTTCTTGGGTGACATGTAAGGAAACATTTAATGTCCTAAGTTATGAGAGTAGTACGTTGTTGTTGTTGTTGTTGTTGTGTGAGAAATTGGGGCAATACACAATGCCCTATTATGCCTTTGGGGGATTTGCCTTCCCTGTAGTGAGTTATATAGGTCTTTGTGCATGTAAATGGTCTGCAAAGGCTAAAATCGTGTAGTGACATCCCTATAATACTCGCACTGCTATTGGCTAGCGCTCCAACACATTGTACTTGATAGGCTAAGGGGCGGGATATCTCTAAGCGGTTGACCAATCACAACAGAGCCGGCCAGCTAACCAATCAGAGCAGACTGGGCTCTGGTTTCATAGAGAGGGTGAAAAGAGGTGCTGCAGCACAGGCAGTATGAGAACAATAAAGAGCTTTTTGAACATTAAAGTGGACCCATCATGCTATATATATAGGTTTTTTTCAAAATACCAAACAGATTACCCATTGTAGCCATGCCTCATACTGCTCAAACACCTCTTTTGCAGCAGCCCTGTTAGAGTAACGCGGATCTTGGGTTAGCTTGAAAAAAAGAAGAGGAGGCGGAGCTAATGCCTGATCAGAATTCTACCGGAGATAAAGTTAAATTCGGTTGTAATAAAACGCCATCCTGTTTAAACCACGTCAAGGATTATTTCTGAAACAGTATGGAGCTCAAATGCTTTTTCTCTCGCGGGTTTATCACAAGGTGAGTTCTTTTTTTATTTCCTTCTTTTTAAACTCATGTGCTCTCCAGTACAGGTTAGCTCTGAGTGTTAGCGAGGCTTAATGTAAACAAAGATTCTGTGGGTCCGCCGACGTCACCTCGGATGGAAATCTGTATCCGCTCGTTGTACACCCATTTTTAAAAGATTTGGGTACGGAGGAAAAGAGAGAGGGTTTTATTTTCTGATGCTGCGTGAGTTCCCCGACACACCGGGGACACATATTTATGTATAAAAGACATCAAAAAGTGCATCTTGCATGATAGGTCCCCTTTAAAGCATGGAGACATGTCACAGTAGAGACACTACATACTGATATGAAACCAGAAAAGGAGCATTAAGTACACATTTTTGTAGGTTATTATAACCATTATGTTATCTCAATGGTATTTGCCCTTGTATAAATAATCTGGTGCAGTGATTTGTGTCATTGTGGCACTTGACGGCCCTTTTGGCTGACCCCTCTACCACCAGCACACCTGTTGCCCACAACAAGTGGCGCAGAGAAGCTATTAAAACCCAAAATATCTCCCATTGAAGTGTGACGCTCAGCTCATCCTGCCATTGATCTGTGGGTATTATGGACCTCGAAAACGCCAAGGTTCAATGAGGAATGATCGGCATCTTCTCTGCTGTTTGACAGAAGGTCACGGCAGGAATCAGGTGTTTCGAAGCCCTTCGAAGGAAATCATTTTCCAAACAGAAGGAACAACAAAACAAAAGAGTTTCAGCAGGTTTTCAGCAAAAGACCAAGTCAAAGTTAAGTCAGAAGTTCTTGAAAGTTGAAAGAGTCTTTCATATCTAAACGCTGACCATCACAATTATGTTATTCTTTATTTATGTTGATTTGTTCCAGGATTTTAACCGGTCAAAACTTGTCAAGTTTCAAGAAAAGGTAAGAAAATTCTTAAAAACAAAAAATAAAAAGGCCAAATATTATGTTTGTCACATTTATATCAACGTTCTTATTATTCTGATGCCACATTTGGTAGAATATCATCATTAATCTTTTCCCTCTTAACACAAAAAACACAGTTTTATGGTCTCAAACTGCTATGGTTAAGAATTGGGAAGGTTTTAGCACAAAAAATTACTACTACCTGTAAAGGGCTTTGTTAATTGAACATAAATCAAGCGGAAACCCCTGAAAACGTAATGCCATTGTGAAATAGCCTTAAACCTGCAATGTGTCAAATGGCCAGCAGGGGCGACTCTTCTGGAATAATTCAGATTGTATAGAAGTCTACGAGAAAATCACCCTACTTCTAACTTGATTTAATACCTCTATACAAATGTTCCTGGCTTGTTTATGGTCTTAATCCCTATAGTTTCAAGTCTTTTCAATACAGCCTGATGTCCCTTTTGTAATTTAAGGTCCAATTTAGAGTCAAATAAAGGATAAAGCAGGGTATGCGATTAAGGCGTGGTCATTATTGCTTGTTATGGTGGCAAGGCGCTACCTTCTTTGCATTTCTTCTCAGAACTTTAACGGTTTAACAATGTGTTTACAGTTCATGGAAGTTAACTGCTTATATTATAAGATATATGTACCTGTTTTCAGTCGATGATGTAAACATGTGTTGTTTTGGGTCACTTACTGGCAAACTGTTGCTCTTTCTTCAATATGTTTTTACCAAAGAGCAGCGTAATATAACAGTGCAGCACAGTTATAAAAGCTTTAATATGCTTATTGATTTTGGACTCTCTATTATCCGACAGGTTAGCCGTGCAAAGATGGTTTGCCATTGGTCAATGCAAAAAATGTGAAGGTAAAGATATGTTAAGGTTGAACTTATTAAAATAACTAATGTAGGAGTCGGGGACCCTATCGAAGTGTTAAAAATAGGAGTCGGGGTCCCTATCGGAAAGGAGAAGAACGAAGAATAGGGAAAGAAATTAGTGTAAAGAGCAAAGGATCATGTATTTTTGCACCCAAATTACTGAATGACTTCAGGTCCAGTTAACGGGGATAGATTAAGTCGCTCTATAATATTGTCAACTAACTAACTTCTTTGCTGTTGTCATAATGACTACAACCTGTAAAGAGCTTTGTCAATTGAACATGGCTTTAGAACACATCATAGCACAGA